CCCCCGGTTCCGCCAGCCCTCCTCAGAAAGGGGCAACCTATCTACACGATCCTCGTGTCTTACTAACTTCTCTACACAGTCCTGCGTCAAAAGTGGCTTGTCTCCACTGTTCCCCATGGGATGGCAATCCATCTACACCATCCCCTGTACTATCCCCCACAGAATATTAAATCTATCTACACTGTCCCTATTGTTGTGTGGCAGCTAGGTGGCGCTGCAGTGCCCACAGCACCCAGGCCAGAGTCGGGAAGACCTGAATTCCAATTTGGCCTCAGTCAGCTGTGACCCTGAGCAAGTCACGTCACCTCTGGCTCAGTTTCCTCCTCTGTAAAGTGAGCTGGAGAAGGAAATGGAAAATCACTCCAGTATCTCTGCCAAGAAAACCCCAAATGTGGTCACCGAGAATCTGACCCAACTGAACAGCAACATTACTGTCCCCATGGCATATCAAATCCACCTACGTTGTCCCTAGGGGCATCTTTTTGGGGTACTAATCGCTCTGTGCCATCTGGATATCAGCTCATCTACATAACAGCTCCTCTACACACACCCTCTGGGGTGGGGGTGGAAGAGAGTTATTACTTGGTCTACACACATCATCCCTTGGGAGACTTTAGCTCATCTCCACTGACCCTTGGCAGCTACCAGGGTAGCTGGTGTGGACAGGGAATGTCCACACATTCCCTCATTGGAAAGTAACTTCAGGTGGATTGATTACACACTGATTTGGGGTCAGGCCCTGTATGAGGGGCTGCACGTCACGTACAAAGCCAAAAGAACATGGCTCCTGCCGCCCAGAAGCGCATGGAGGACACAGCAGAGTCAGGGATTTCTCTTGTTTGGAACTGCAACTCTGAGCAGGTGCTATTATTCATCCCATTTTACAGAGGAAACAGAGGGCCAGAGAGGTTAAGGAACTTACCCAGGGTCACACAGCTGACAAGTAGCAACAGTGCTCTTGACTGCAGCTGCACAAACATCTTGGGGGGAGGTCTCAGAGAACGCTCCTCATAGATGGGAGCCAGATTACGGAGGGCTCCAAGTTCCAAGCTGAGGAGCTGTGACCATCAGGAGCCATGCCAGATCTGTTCACTCGGGATGGTTGGGATCATATTGGATGGTCAGGATCTGGGGTGGCATTAAGAGAGAAAGGGTGCCCAAGTCTAGGGGCTTGCGGTTTCAAATGATTTCAGCAGGGGAATATGGGTATTCCAGGACTTGCCCCTCACCCACTTTGGTGTCCACGTGTCACCTCTCTCTCACCAGTGGCTCTAGGAAGTTGGAGCCTCTGCAGTGCCCACACTCTGGTAAACCGTCTTGGCAAACGGGCTAAGCCAGTTTGAGGGTAACAGGCCTCAAAACCATTGGTGAGTGAGGGGGACATCTACCCCAAACATGTTAAGACTTCCTCTGGGGGGGATGAGCGGATCGTCCGTGAAGGCAGCCAAAGCAGGCGCTGTGGAGCTCGTGGACACTGAGGGCAGCCGCTGCATCCCGGGCCATCGCCAGTCGTCCCGAGTTTTGACCCGCCACCATATACAGTAACACATTCACGCCGGCACCCCACACTTGGCCTTCCTAGAGAGTCCTCGCAGTGACCCAGGAGGAGAGAGTGAAGCTGCCGGCTTTGCGCAGCTCGGCCTCGCTTCAACCCAATCCATGCAGGAGGCCCGACATCACCTGGGGCGCCTTTGGTCCCCTTCAAAAAACGCAGAACAATATAGCCTGTTCACATAGGGTTGCTTGCATGGCGCCTCTCCCATTTGAAGGAGCTCGTGACAGCAGGGACCACGGGTCTGCCTTTCTCTGCATCCCTAGCACTTACTTCATCTTAACTCTGAGTGCTTTTGGTGAACAAAAAGCATTGTTTAAGATCATTCTCTAAACCCATTCTGCAGACCTCCTCGGTTTTATGGTGAGGTCATCATCCCTTTCACAATCAATTATTTCTGGTTTTTTCCTTGTAGTAAGATTTATACAGGTAGAGAAAAAAAAATAGCCCTCTAGAACCTAAATGTCTTCCAAAGGTTCTGAGGGAGTTAAATAAGAAAAACAAGAATTGAGAGCAGATTGGTTCTTTTCGGAGAGGAGAAAAAAGAAGGGAGGGGAAAAGGAACAAAGTGTAGAAAGGAGGAAGGAGCTTGTTACCTCTCATGACTGGTAAGCAAGTGGTCACAACATGAGACTCGCTCATATAAAATGGACAAAATGGCCTCCCCGGCCACCCGTGCCAAGACACACTGCACCTTCTCCTCCCTCTCTCTCAGCCGGGGACTCTGTCTCATATTTGACAGAAAAAATGCCCATTTCCCACGAGCCTCTCTCTCCATCTTTACTATTGTCTGCCTTGCTCCTTCCCAAGGCTAACCCCTCCCCCTGCACGAGGGATCACGTTATATCTTATCTCCTCCAGCAGATTGCCGCCTCGGCCATCCCCGCTCCCTCACTTATCTTCACCCTTATCTTCAGAGGGTGCCTTCCCTACTGCCCACAAACATGCCCAAGTCTGCCCACCCTAAAAACCCCCTCACTCATCTCTGTGATCACATCCTGTATCTCTTTGTCCTCAGAAAGTCTGTCCACACTCAGGGCATCCACTCTCTCTCCTCACCCTCTCTTCTAAAACCCTTGCAATCTGCCTTCTGACTTTTCCCTTCCACCAAAACTGTTCTTTCCAAAGTTACCAGTGGTCTCTTAGTTGTCGAATCCAGCGGCCTTTTGTCCATCCTCATTCTCCTTGACCTCTCTGCAGCCTCTGACGCTGTGGGTCACTGTCTCCTCCCCGACCCTCTCTTCTCTCTAGGTCTACGGGACACCCCTCTCTGTCCTCATTCTCCTCTTCCCTCTCTGACCACTCCTGCTGTCTCCTTTTCTGGAACCACAAGTATCTCTAAGGGCTCTGTCCTGGGCCTGGAGGAGCTGTTGGCATTTGCCTTTGCCAGGTGAAGCAGGAACAATTTTAATAATGAACATTCACAAAAATAACATTATTGACAGTATGTCGTAAAGTGACAAAACCAAAAGGTAGTTTAATATCTCTGAGGTCTGTGGGTTTGTTTCCTTTTGATTTGTTTCTTCTTTCACAACTGTGACTAATATGGAAGTGTTTTTACATGACAACACATGTATAAATTATATCAAACTGAAGAGGGGAAGGGAGGGAGGGAGAAAAATCTGGAACTCAAAATCTTGTAAAAATGAATGCTAAAAATTTTCTTAATGTGTAACTGGGGAAAAACTAAAATAAAGGACATCATTATCAAAGATATCTCTGAGCTTACGGGGAAGACATCATTTTTGGTCTTATTTCTGGGCAGGAAGGAAGGTCCCAAGACAAGCGCTCTGCCCTTCTGCTTTCCTTTTACCTGGGGAGCTAAGGTTGAAGGTCAGGGCCTGGGGCATCTGGTGAGGTCTTTGTCCAGCAAGCTTCATGGCTCACTCTTTCTCTTCCACGGCCTAAGAACAAAAACCGTGGACACACAATGGCATTGTCTTCAAACATTTGGACAGTTTCTCATACACAAAGCTGTAAAGGAGGCTGCTATTTCTCAACATTATGTGACTAGCAGGTGGGACAAGTAAAAAACTTTAGGGTATACAGTCGGTTTGTGCTGTTGCATAAGGAAATAAGCATCTGTGTGGCAAAATATTTATCCGTTAATTATCTAATCATTCTCATCCAAGGATTCAGTGGTCTGCTGCCAACAACTCTTTGGTCCTATGTTTAATTCCACAATGCAAATGAACAGATCAAGGGTTACTTGGATTTTATAGGCTGTCGTCCAAGATCTCTCAGACATGACGAGAGCAGGCATAATCGACCATGCACCCTCTTTCCATTTCTTCGAATTCTTCGTCTTGGCCAACTGTAGAATGGACATGCAGTCATCATTAACGTGGCCATACGTCTAGCAAGCTGCACAGGTATGCCATCTACAAGAGAGAGAAATCTCAAGAGAGCTGGAAATAAGCCAAGATCCAAAATTCTCCACGAGAGAAGTGACCTTTTGCCAATACTTTCAGATTAGTCAGAGATGAGCGGATGAGTCCTCCTTGTTCACAAGGGCCCCACGTGGTTTCTTCCTATCAAGAACTTAAGCTTGGCTGACTAGAGTTCATGGTTTGCTCATCCTATGTCTGAGAAAACTGACACTGAACAGAAATCGAGAGTCTCTCCCTAAAGGTCAGTGTAGGATTTCTGTTCGTTTACTGCTGCAGGTTCTGGCAATGTCAATAAAACTTTTAGTTTCACTGCATGATAGTTTTATTTCTGAAGAGTTATATTCATGTGGAGTCAGCAGATTGCAGATGAAATGCAGATGTATTACAATAGCAATAAGAAGAAGAAGAAGTAGCACACATTTACAGAGTGTTTTAGGGTTTGCAAAGCGCTTTACAAATATTATCTCATGTGATACAACAATCCTGGGAGGCATCCCCATTTTTACAAGTGAGGAAACTGAGCAAGGAAGAGGTTAGTGACTTGTTTAAGATCACACAGCTAGTAAATGTCTGAGGTCATATTTGAATACAAGACTTTTCTGACTCCAAGTTCAGCATGTGCCACTGGGCTTCCTGTAGGTGTGTATTTTTATTAATATATATATTATATATCTATATATAGAATTTTGTATATATTATACACACACACACGTATTTATCTATATATAGAGTTCCATACGTTTTTCATATTACATGTCAGTCCATAAATTTCAAGCTCAATTTCAATAAATTTTCACTTTAAATTTCAAGATTCAAGGCAATAAATAAAATCTGGTGGTCATGTAATTGAGTTTTGTGTTAAATATCTCTTTAAAATCAGGTCTCTTATGTTATGGCTCTGCAGAGAAGCTAGCTTTCATCTTTAGTGAAGAAACATTAGGTCAACAGATAACTTGGGGAGCCGTGGAGAACAGATAAACTTTTCACAATTGTCCATAATTATTTACAACTCAAAAAAAAATCTCATAGCACTGACTAGGAAAAGTAGTGACAGAGTCATCGGAGGCTGAAACACACACATAATTATAGTTGATTTTAAGATGCTGAAGGTGCTGAAGACCCTAGGAATGGGAAAAACAGAATCTAAGGCAAGATCAGGCCTGAAGGTTAAGGGACACGAGAAGACAGAAGGGGGAGGTTGGGGTGATGGGGAGGCAAGGAGCCTCTTCTCAGCCCCAGGAAGCAGTAGCCCAGGCTGTTTCCCTCTCCTGGCACCCACTTCCTCATTAGATTGAGAACTCCTTAAGAGCAGGGACAATCTCTGGCCTTTCTTTGCATCCCCAGCTGTTTGCACAGTACCTGGCACACAGTGGGTGCTTAATACATGCTTGCTGACTTGACTTGCTCCCCAGTCTAGCTTAATTGGAGACATGATCACAAGCATTCATCCATTTCAGGGGGGACTTTCCAAATCTGCCTCATCAGACAAGAGCCCAGGGTCAGTTTCTTATGACAGAATTGTTATCAGAGGCTTTAAACACAGGAAAAATCCACAATGCTTTGCTCTTTGCAAACACAGTAGTGTGCACTTCTTTCTCCTTCAAGGCTGTTTGCCTTTCAATTGACAATTACAGTTTAAACATTTTCTTTTAAACTACATACGCAGTTAATATTCTTTCAGGTATAGAAAAACCTGAAGGAATAAAGCATCAATCTTTCCAAATACTAACACACTATGGCCAGTTTCTAGTTCCATGAATATATCATCCTGGCTGCGTTTTACCTCATTCAAATCTTTCACCACCCCATCCCCCCAATTTAACACTCCTTAGGAACTTTGTGCAATTTAACATACGAGACAGTGAGACATTATTCTCACATTCTACAAAACTGATTAAGCATTTATTGTGTGCTCACACTGTGCTACAGACAGCTGGGGGCGCTGGAGTGGATAGAATGACAGGCCTGGAGTCACAAAGCCTCATCTTTGTGAGTTCAAATCTGGTCTCAGACATGTATGAGCTGTGTGACCCTGGGCATGTCACTTAACCCTGTCTGCCTCAGTTTCCTCCTCTGTAAAATGAGCCGGAGAAGGAAATGGCATACCATTTCAGTATCTTTGCCAAGAAAACCCCAAATGCGGTCACCGAGAGTCACACACCACTGAAACAACTGAACACGAATGGAAAAACCAGACGTCCCTGCCCTAGAGGAGCTCCCATTCACCACAAGTCCGACAGAAGGCAAGGTCCCAGGGTCCTGAGGGTGGCGGGGCCAAGCAGGTGCTCCGGCCTCTTCTCTGTCACCCATAGAACGGCAACAGGCTCTGCTGTTGAGGCACCGGACCGCCGTGCCCAGGACTTCTCCTTTCTGAGGCCTTGGGAGCTGCGGCCGGAGCCCCCACGGGAGCAGTCCGTCCCCAGGGTTTGCTTGCCAGGAGGATGGCTGAGGGCCCGGGGCTGGAAGCCTGGCTGGTCCCAAGGCCTTTGGGCTCAGGGGCCTGGGCTATCTGGTCTGAGGGGAGCTGGTGGTGGTCTGGCACATGCTGCCTGCTCTCTCCCTCAGGGGCTTGCCTGCCCTGTGGGTGGCAGGTGGTGGGGATGGTTGTAAGGGCAGGGCTAGAAGCAGGACCAGTGGAACAGGGTCATTGTTACACAGATTACAGTTGCTCAATTGTCTCTGGCTATTTTTCTCTTCACAAAGAACAGAGATTAATTACATATGCAATAAATCATGAAAGGATAGGGAAGATTTCCCTCTTTAATTCTGTATTTCCCCTCTCACCTAGAGTGGACAGTTCCAAGCAGGGTAAGTAAAGCAAGTTTAAATGGTCTTTACTGAAAACGAGCGCTCCCAACGGGCCTGGTGTGTGCATGTGTTCACATGTGTTTGTATCCAAGTGAGAGTCTGTGTGTGTCTGAAGGTAGAGGGAAGGGTTTAACTGTATATCCTAAAATGACTGATATTAAAAACAAAAGACAACAATTTTTTAAAAAGTAAAAATAAAAGCATATGATTCAAAGGGCAGACTGATACCTGAGAATTTCAGAGAATATCTCCCCTCTCAGAAAAGAAAACTCCTTCCAGTTGACCACCCAAGGTCTGAGGGGTTCCATGTTCTCATTTGCAGGTACGTGGGGGGGGGGTCTCTCTTGTGAAGAAGATACTTTAAAAAAAAAAATTACAAAAATAAAAGAAGGTATTTGCTTGGGATCTCACTCCATCCAGAGGCTTGGCTTTGCTTTGGTTTTGAAATGAGGCCTATTACGTTGGGGTAGGGTGGGGGAGGCAGAGCTTGGAAGGAGCTTATCTCAACATACAAGGAAGAGGGGCCCAGAACCGAAGATGACAGGGAAGACAAAGAAGGGTAGCTCCAGAAGGGTTTGGTAATTACTCCTGACAAGGCTGTATTAAAGACGGATTCAAATTTTGATCAAAGAGCCAAACCTAGACACCAACACCCCCCCCCCCCCACCCCCCCAGGAAGTGTAATCTTCATGAATGAAGAGAGCTCACTGAGGGCGTCTGGGTCATTTCACCTCTGTCCATGAAGGCGGCAGTCTGACTTCTTTCCCAAGGACAGGTCGCCAGCCGCCCACTGAGATCATTCTCCGTACAGCAATACACTGCTCATAAAGCAGAGACACAATGGGAGAAAAGGAATTGCAACAACCAGGACCTGTGAGGTACCCCTTGGCCCCATGTTCTCTCTAATCTTGAGCTCACATTTCTCTGGTTCCCCCACCTGCCCTATTGATATAGAGGGCACTCTCATCCTCATAGGCCCTCAGGCTCCCAACCTAGGAATCATTCTGGACTCCTCACTCTCTGTAACCACCCCCGTCCAATCCAATCCTTCACCAAGGTCTGTTGTTTGGAACATCTCTCGAATGTGCCCCCTTCTCTCCTTTGACCCTGCCACCAACCCTGGTGCAGGCCCTCTTTACCTTATGTCTAGACTAATGGCCTGCTGAAGACTCTGCCTGCCTCAAGTCCCTCCCTACTCCAGTCCATCTTCCATTCAGCCACCAAAGTGCTAACATGACCAGGTCACTCCCTTACTCAGTAGAGAGGTGCCAATTTTCTCCAATAAGATTTCAAGGTCACTCTGAGACTGAGAGGTCTAAGTTTATAGGCTTCTCTGTTCTGGTCAGTATCTCTAGGCCTAGGCTTTTACTTCTCTAGGTCTCTAGATTTCCAGCTCTAACTCTGTCTCTAGTTTGTACACACCTCTTAAGTCTCTAATGCTCATTAGATCTCCAGGTTTCCCAGCCTCAGGTTATAATCATCTAGGGTTCTCCAAGTTTCTCTGTCTCTAACACTCTCAGCCTTGGTCCATAGAACTCTGGGTGCCTTAAGTCTTCTCTAGAGTACTAGGCCTCAGAGTCATTTCAAGTCTGGGTCTAGCAGGAGAGAAATTTAAGGCTGCTGAGTGTCTAAGTTTCAATGGACAGATCTGACTTTTTCTAGATCTCTAGTTCTAAGTGACTAGTTAGTACTAGTGAGTACTACAGGTTTCCAGGGATCAAGGCTGGAGACTCGAAGTCTTTTGGTTTAAAGCTCAAAATCTCTCAGTTTAAAGCTCTACATCTCTGGGTCTAGGCTCTATTTCTTTAAGCCTCTGGTATTTTAAGTATCTCGATCTAGAAGGTTCAGTACACGGGCAGTTTCCAGGTTACCAGATCTCAGGCTCTAGATGTCTATCTTTCTAGGTTTGTACATTTCTAAGGACACCACCTTTCTAAGTCACTAGGATGACTAGCCTAGGTTTTTAGGACTTTATGTCCCTTCAAATAGCTTTCTAATTCACTAGGCCTCTCCTTCAAGGTATTTAGTCTAGGGCCATGGGTCCTTTTTAGCTTAGGCATTCTGGGTAAAATGATCAGTCAACAGTAAAGTATGGCTCATGTTCTTACTGTCTCCTTCTAGAGACAAAAATTCAATCTTGCACAAGCTTCATATATAATATTTATATATTCTTGAAGTAGGGCTTTCCTTTGGGTACAGCATGAATAAGCTGCACACATGTGTTAGGCATGGCACTTCTTTACATGGCTCCAAAATCTGTCAATATCCTAACAGTAAAATCTACTCCCAGGAATGAAATTTGGGTCCCCAAGGGCAGCCCCTCTTTTTATTGCTTCTGCTTTTTCTCTTTTCCCTTTCTAATGTACCTCTTCTTACTAATAATCAACTGAAAGTAATTGAGGTAATGGTGTGGTGAAAAAGGATTCTCATATGCTGGTGGCAAGCCTTTGGGTGGAAGTCCCAAGTTCTCAGCTGACTTCTGTTTAATTGTCTATTTGCTCCCTGGGTGTTACAGATGGCCTTGATACCTTTTTGGGTATGGCCATTACACTGGTGTCTTGTGGCCTAAGGGATAGGGCTGAACTCAGAGCTACCTAGTAATCCCATCCATCTCTAGCAAGTTATGCCCAGACGAGGCACTGGTCAAGTCTGTCCATGCTTGAAGTTCAGCTCCATAACACAGCCTTGGAACCTTTCAGTAAGAGTCCAATTCAAAATCAATGACGGCAGTTTGTGGATGTGAAACTGAGCCTTTAGCAAATGGCACCAGTTTGTGGTGACCATCGTTCTCTTTCACGAACACGTTTTTTAAAGATGTGGTCAGCTGTCTCATGCATGCCCCAGTGATGGCTGTGTAGATCCAAACAAGACATTTCTGCTCGCCACTGCTACTAGTCTAGAAGGCATGAGACAGCTGACCACATCTTTAAAAAACGTGTTCATGAAATTGGGAAAGAATTTTCACAATCAGTGTCTCCAATAAGGGCCTCATTTCTAAAATATATAGAGAATTAGGTCAAATTTATAAGAATACAAGCCATTCCCCAATTGATAAATGGTCAAAGGATACGAACAGGCAGTTCTCAGATGATGAAATTAAAGCCATCTATAGTCATATGAAAAAATGCTCTAAATCACTGTTGATTAGAGAAATGCAAATCAAAACAGCTCTGAGGTACCACATCACACCTACCAGATTGGCCAACATGACAAAACTGGAAAATGATAAATGTTGGAGAAGATGGGGGAAAATTGGAACACTAATGCATTGTTGATGGAGTTGTGAACTGATTCAACCATTCTGGAAGAACAATTTAGAACTAGGCCCAAAGGACTATAAAAATGTGCATACCCTTTGACCAGCAATACCACTACTAGGTCTGTATCCCAAAGAGATCATAAAAATGGGAAAAGGACCCACATGTACAAAAAATATTTATAGGACCTCTTTTTGTGGTGGCAAAGAATTGGAAATTGAGGAGATGCCCATCCATTGGGGAATGGCTGAACAAGTTGTGGTATATGAATGTAATGGAATACTATTGTGCTATAAGAAATGATGAGCAGGTGGACTTCAGAAAAACCTGGAAAGACTTGTACGGACTGATGCTGAGGGAAGTGAGCAGAGCCAGGAGAATGTTGTACACAGTAACAGCCACATTGTGTGATGACTACTGTTGACAGACTTAGCCCTTCTTAGCAATGCAAGGATCTAAGACATCTCCAAAGGTCTCATGATGGAAAATGCTGTCCACATCCAAGGAAAGAACTATGGAGTTTGAATGCAGATTGAGGCACACTATTTGTTCTTTTTTTTCTTCTGTTTTGTTTGGTTTCCTCTTTCTGGCGGTTCCTCCTATTGGTTCTAATTCTTTCTTACAACATCACTAATGTGAAAATGTTTAATAGGAATGTATATGTAGAGCCTCTATCAGATTGCGTGCCATCTTGGGGAGGGAGGTGAGGAGGGAGGGGGAGAAAAATTTAAAACTCGAAAAGCTTCTGGAAGTGATTGCTGATAAATCAAAATAAATTAATTTTTTAAAAAAGTGCTCATGTTTCTCCCCCCAAAAATCTCCAAAGAAGACTTTAAGAGTTTAAGCCAAACTGACCTTTGCTGTCTTTCTCCTTTTGGTTTTTCCCAGTGATGGCTTGAGAGAGATTGCTGAGAAGTAAAGCAACAGCTGAACTAGTCTTTGGAAAATTGTGATGGCAGCCACTGAATCCTAGACCAAGGGTAGGGAATCTGTGGCCTTGAGGCCACACGTGGCCCTCTAAGCTCTCAAGTGTGGCCCTTTGACTGAATCTGAACTTCACATAACGAATCCCCTTAATAAAAGGATTTGTTCTGTAACACTTGGACTCAGTCCAAAGGCTACCCCCCGAGGACCTAGAAGGCTACACGTGGCCTCGAGGTCGCAGGTTCCCCACCCTGTCCTAGACAATTTCTTAATTTGCAAAGGTTCTTTGGGTGATTGTCTCACTTCTGGCTCAGTGCTCACTCCATATTGAGACACTATGTGTACTTGACGGAGGCATTTTTCAATTAGCTGGCCTAACATACTCCTAAGTTTTTCCCCATCTTCTTCTAGTGTCTTTCCAAAGAACATGAGCTCATCTAGGTCTGCCAACACTCCCACAAGCTGCTCCCTAAGATGTCAAATCCAACAGCGCGGATGAACACTGCCTTCCCTTTCTCCTCCTCTGCCATCAAGATCTGGAAGTATCTGTTCAGCAAATTCAAAACTGAAAACCATTGACAACTTAGCAAGTTGGCCAGAGCATCTTGAACTACTGGTGTGTTGTGCTGGCCAACTTTAGTCCTCTTGTCCAGAGTCTGCTAGCATCTTCAAGAAGCTACAGGCCGTCTCCACACTGATACACCAGAGATAACCTCTGGGGCTGGCCACAGCAAAGTCACACTACCACTCATATAACTATCTATGGGGGCATCCTTGGGTCACATGGTCATGATGTGATCACTGGTCCCTGGACCCCAGCTTCTCCAAGTCAAACATTCCTTTCTGCTGGCACATCTCTCAGCAGTTTCTCTGGGTTCCTGGTTTTCACTCAGCTTCCTAAGGCAGTCAGATCATACATTGCAGCTTGGAAATCGTGCTTAAACTCAATTCTTTCCAGCATCGGATCAAGCTGTGGTGTCTTTTGTTTCAACTCAAGACTAATTCGGTGCCTCCAAGTCTCAGTCAGCAGTCTCTGTGGTGGGCTATCTACTTTGGTGAGAAGTACACTGGATAAATTTGGTGTACGCCCACCGCAGTGTCCTACCACCACTCAAATGCCCTTCTAGGCTCTCCAAACATCTCTGTCACATGAGTTGGACTTGGAGTCTTCCGATCCTTTTCCTATTCCAGGTATATGGCGATGCTGCAATGCCTCCGACGCGTTTCTGACCTAGACAACCCATGTTCCTTCTCCAGTGGGACATGGGTCCTGTCCTGAGAAAATTCCCAACTTACGGCTAGGGTTCTACTGTGGTGCAACACCATACGCTGGGTTATCTTTGGGGAACCAGCGTCAGTGTTCACCTTCTTCTTTTGAGCCCACATTTTGCTAGGAAACCCTTGGCACTGAGAACTTGTCCTAGTCCTGTTACGCTTGTGCGAGGCCCCCTCAATTGGCCAACGCTTAAAGAGACTCTCCATGTTCCCAACCATGTGGGAGTCCCAACTCTTAGTGGCCCCCTGATTTATGATATCTATAGGAGCTCACTGAGGTGGGTAAGGGATTCTTGCTAAGGCAATAGTCCTAGCTCAAAGGGCCCCCAATTTGTGTTTCGGTTACAGGAATGACGATGGCTTTTCCCTTTAAGGATGCTCGAACAACAGGCAGAACTCACGCATTGCCAGCTGGCCTCAGCACTCGAATCCAAACCCTGGGCCAACATCCACAAGTTATGGAGCCACTTCCCGGAGAACTAAATCTGCTTAGGCCCACCTTTACAGGAACCACAGAACAAGCCAATTTTGAAAGAGTCCACAATTAAAAAGCCAAGAATGAGATTCCTGTTATTAAACCTACATCATCTTTCACTGTGACAGCAGGCAGGTCACAAAAAAAAACAACAACAAAAAAAGCCCAAACCATATCCCATCCTTGCTACCAGATGCACTAGGTTCATTGGACTAATTCTGAAGGTGGAAGAGGTGATCAAACTGACATTTAACTGTAAATGCTGTCTAAATGAGTTGATATGTGGTAAGCATGACCTCTGTGCCACTTGATGGAAAAAGCTAAATCCAACACGAACAGCAAAGTAGAGCTGCAACAGATAGACTCATCTTCCTGAATTCAAATTTGGCCTCAGACATTTACTAGCTGTGTGACCCTGGGTAAGTCACTTCACCCTGATTGCCTCAGTTTCCTCATCTGTAAAATAAGCTGAAGAAGGAAACGGCAAACCGCTCCAGTATCTTCGTCAAGAAAACCCCAAGTGGGGTCATGGGGTCAGACGTGACTGAAATGGTTGAACAACAAAAAACAACAAATCCAAAACACATTTTTCTCATCTCTCTCTCTCTCTTTCTCTCATACACATACACACACACACACACACACACACACACACACACACACACACACACACTCAACCTCTACCTAGTTTAATACCTTCTACTCTTGAAAGTAGGCCCCACTTTCTATTCTTTATTTGATTGATTCCGATGTGGTAATGCTCTCTTGCTGCACTTCAGAAACCAATCAACCAACAAAGCAAAAAAGGAAAAGAAAAATTGATGTAAATATATGTTACACAGAGACACATAAATATATGTTAGTGACAGGCTCTCATGATGAAAATCACGCCTTGATAGAATAGTCAAGACTATTGTTTTTTTAGGTGGGCATCAGTAATAAGAAGGTGTACGGGGGCTTGATTCCCTTTATGTGGTTTTTACCAACATCTTTGAAATAATGAAAGATGGTCTTTGGGCTGAGACAAATGATTATTAATAACCAATGATAAATGAATTAAAAAAAAAAAAGAAAAGGCAATAAATTTTTTAAAAATAACCACTGATTTTCTCCTTGTTCTCTTACCTTCATTTCAAGACCTCAAACCTCTGAAGGTTGAGCTACCCTTCTCTATCCAGACCCCACCCAGGTGGGGCAGCCATTGTGTTCAGCTCAGGTTTGGGTTTGGGTGGGGGTGAATTCTTTGAATCCATCGCCCAAGGCAGGGGGTAACTTAAGAACTAAGTGACAATCGAAGAGCAGGCCCAGTCCCTCATCGTAGTATTCATTCTCTCACTAATTGTTAACCAATCAGAATATGCCTCTTCAAAAATGACTTAAGTGTTTGTCTTTAGGTTATGGATTTCACTGTTAAAAGACTGATGTAAATATGGAATAAAAATCAGTAGCAGATTAGTAACTGAATTAGGGTATCAGTATTTTTGACATTTCAGGATCTAGCCCCAGTTAGGTGGTCAAAATGCAATGATTTGACTTCAGTTGAGAACCTGAAATTGCAAAGGAAAAGATTTTTAGAAATCAGGCTGTAACCAGCTTTAGTCTGAGAGTAAGGTTGGATAACCATCTGGTTAATCACGTCCACCTACCTTTCAGGCTACTGTAGGAAGCCCTCATTAAATCTAACACTACACAAACTACTGGATATGGTTAAATGATTAGTTATTGTGATCTGTGATTATTATATAAAAGTCTTAAATGTTTTCTTGGACTGTTCAACTATTCAATTATTATTTAATTCAACTATTTAATTTACTCCCTCTGTGAAAGCTCTTGAAGGTTTCTGCCCAGGGAAAGTCGCCATGCCCTGCAAGCGTTAAATCAAATTCCTTAGGTCTCTTGGCTCTTTGTTCAACTTAGAATCTAATAATATTTGAGCCCAGCACAATTTAAGCTAACTTAATGATAACAGGTGTGATTTCAAACTCTTTGTAAAACTTTACATGTGTTTCCTAGAATATGCAGTTTGAAATTCCTGGGAGGACTGGAATTGGAAGCTGGAATGCTTATGGCAGTTCTTTATCTGATAAGTCTCAAAGAAAGGTAAAGGGAGGCAGGGGACTGAGAACTGAAGTAAAGGAAAAGATTATATGGAGCTACGAAATTGTCATCATGTGTCTTTTAAAAAAACAGAAACACATGAATTTATGGATAATAATAATTTTTCTTCTCAAGTGTTAAGAGTACTGGGCCTTGGACATTGAAATGTTAGCATTAGTGATTATAAATCCGGATATGATTTGATTTAAGCCAAAATCTGTTCTGAAAGAACTAAGAACAGGGTCTGAGTGCGTTCTCCAATCGGGATAATTGTGGCAAATTAGAATCTAACACAAAAGACACTTGTTACTTGGCATTAAGAAATTTATTAGCTGTGTGGCCCCAAGCAAGTTATTTTATGTCTATTTACCTCACTTTACTGTTCTGCAAGGGGATAATAACAGCAGCCACCTTCCAGGGTCATTGTGAGGATCAGATGCTTGTAAGGTGCTTAACACAGTGCTTGGCACATGAATGTGAACTACTTTTATTATTTCTTTAATTAGATGTAATTGCTTCATATTTGATAACTTCATATGGGTTTTTAGATGTGATCAGTATACAATTCCAATGGTGAAGAGACGAAGGATTTTCTGTGTAAGGCAATCTGGAAGCTCATTCACCTGAACTGAGGTCACCTGATTGGTAACAGGTTTTGTTTCAAGTTTCAAATACACGATATTATTTATGGCATTGTTATGTTTCTAAATGGCCTTAGATTGTGTAATCTGGTAAACAATAAGCAATTTCTCTTATAATCTAGACATTGTTAGATTAAGAATTGTACTGTTAAAAGAAAAAAAAGATTTCAGAAGCTGTTAGGTCATTTTATCAGCCCTGCTGACCATGTGTTGCAATATTCTGAAGCACGGTAAGAACTTAAATTTCCAAGGTTTTTTTCCTTTTCTCTTTTTGGTGAGGCATTTGGGGTTAAATGACTTGCCCAGGGTCACACAGCTAGTTAAGTGTCAGGCGTCTGAGGCCAGATTTGAACTCAGGTCCTCCTGACTCCAGGGCCGGTGCTCTATCCACTGGGCCACCTGGCTTCTAAACTTCCAAGTGTTGCCTATGTTTAAGAGGAAGGTTCACCTAAAAGTATTTGGCTATCACTTAGGAAAACGATGAGACTGTTAACTAAGTTACTTGGAGTTACTGTCTCAATTTTAAAAACCTATCAAGTATTTACATAAGTATCTTTAAAACAGGGAAAATTGGTAATTGTACAAAGAAAAGACCTCATCAAATCTCTTTTGTAAACTTACAAGGATTCTTGGAACCATCTAGTCATAAATTCTGATCAGTCCTGTGCAAGGTTTCTGTGCTGTGGAATTCCTACTGAGTAAATGGGCACCCTTGTATAAAATGGGGAGTGGAAGTGTCAAGCCTGCTTATGGTGTAGAGTGGATTTCATCTCAAGTTTTATACACAGACATATACTTACACATGCATATATCCTTATATACGTATATACACATATATGAATAAAAAAATCTGGAAGTTTACAACAATTGGTCAGTGCTATTTTCCTAGGGATTTAAGTGAACTGTCGCATATTCACTATCTATATGGGATTCCAAAATGTAATTATTTTTCTTGATTTCTAGTGACATATTTTAAGATAAAGGGAAGAAAAGGACTTTGAGTAAAATTTCAAAGGCCTGGTAAACTTTGTTGCTGTGATAAAGTTAATTTAATTGGGTATATATATCTTTTTTGGTTTAGAAAAACTGAATCTCCTCCCCATTGCAAACATCTTTTAACTAGAGGAGGGTGGTACTTAAGAATTTGTGATGATTAGTTTATTTTATTTTTAAGACCTTTGGGATTTATGATACTTAAAGATAATTTATACCAACTTGGTTTTGATAAATTCCAATTTTCAAGATTTATTTTTGCTTTAAGGTTGAATAACAGTTTAGATCTCTAAGTTTAGATGTTTCCAACTAATTTACTTCATGAAAGTTTAGTGATTATCTTTTTAACATCAGGATAAATTTTAAGCTGTTTTTAAGAAAGGGAAATACTTTTAGAAGGAATGTTTTAAAAAATCTTTTGTTAAAAAACAAAACAAAACAACTTTTGTGTGATTTTTAGAAAGTCTACTTAATTTTATCTGTAAGCCAATTTACTGCAATAATTTGATGGTATTAATAACAATTGTGTCTACACCTACTGTGATGAAGTGAGACTTTATTGTTTGAGGAGAAAGCTTTTTTGGGACCCTGAATATTCTTTTTGGAGTTTCATTTTTAGGTCTGTTGTGTCCTTGGACCATCCTTAAATGGATGCTTTAAAAAAAAAAAAGTTAGTAGTTAGCAGTTCAATGGAAGCAACATCTGAGGTCTAAGGTCTGAATATCTGTCCCTGAAAATAAGGTAGTTACCTTGGGAAAGCTAATTCATTCTCTTAATTCATTTTCCCATACAAGAAATCTGTCCAACTGGTTCCATATGCTAGGCTACTTATAGTGGTGTAGGCCTTGATGCTGTTTCTAAACCATGTCCCTGCTTAGAGCTCTCACAGCAAATTTCTATTATCAGGGTAGGCAAACAGTGGAATTTTGTTATTGCAATACTGAATCTACTAGTTATTAGATTAATACTGAGGCACCTGAATTACTGTAAAAAGCTGAAAGTAGGAAGATCTTGCTATTTTGATCTGCATTTGCTGTCATTCCATGGCCTAAGCAATTGCATTAAGCCAGGCTTAAAGTCAGTCAGGTAGGACATTTTCCATTCAAAAAAAAAAAAATATATTGGGGAAACTGAGTCAGGAAAATCCTACCTCAGTCCATGCCAAGAGTCGTTTTTCCCAACCTTCCCGTGAGAACTCCACCTGCAGTTCATAGATGTAGGTCTCCTACAGGAGAAGTAGACAAGCTGACATGAGCCAGGGCTACTGAGACAATGATTGACTAAGTAAAAGTAAAGGAAAATAATGAAATGACGTCCTCACATTTTGCTGATACAGCGAAAGAGCCCTTAAAGGAAATTCTTCAGAAAACCTAAGTTCATTGACAAATCAGAAAAGAGACATTTAATGAACTGAGCAGGTCATTTTTGAAAATGAGAAAATAGAAAAAACTGAACTATCTCAAAAGAAGCACAAAAGTAGCAATCTTGAAAACTGGAGAAGAAATAGATAAAAGGGAAAACCAAAAATGATGACAGATACAATAAACCTAAGGAAGAACCAAATGGGCTTTTTTTTCCCTCAAAAAGAATATCCAAACCAACAAACCTTAGCTAACCTGTTCAAAAATGATGGAGAGATGCAGAGAGGAGAGAAGAGAGGGAGAGAGGGAGAGAAAGAAAGGGGGGGGGATGGGGGAGGGAGAGGGACAGAGAGAGGAGGGAATCAGAAAATGATCCGAATGAAAAAATGAGCACATGAGCTCACTGCTCCGGCTTTAGTACGTCTTCAGCTGCTTCCGGGACGTCCCCTAAGCGTCTCAAACAGAACTCTCTAGCTTTCCTTTCAAAGGTTGGTCCCTCCTTCTACCTTCCTTATTACTGTCAAGGACATCATCACCCTCAACTCCTCATTCTTACTCACCACCTACCCCTCCACAGCCAATCTGCCGTCAAGGCCTGTTGATTCTATCTTCACAAAATCTGTCCTATATGTACCCTTCTCTCTCCTGACACAGTCACAACCTACCAAGGCCCTTATCACCTCTCACCTTGACGACTGCAATAGTCACCTACCTGGTCTTCCTGCTACAAGTCTCTCCCCACTCCGCTCCACCCTCCACTCAGCTGCCAAGGTTGCACCTCACTCTGCATCCTACCCTATCCCCCTAAATGAACTTCAGTGGCTCCCTATGACCTCCAGGATCAAAATATAAATTCCTATGTTTGGCATTCAAGGCTTTTCATAGCCTTGCTGCTTCTTACCTTTTCCATGTTCTTTACACCACTTCCCCCACTACACATATTCTACGATCCCATCTCCATGCCTCTGCGCTGTCATACCTGTAATGCTCTATCACTGTCACATTCTTCAAGACTCAGTTCAAACGCCACCTTGTGCCAGCCTCCTCCACTGCTCAGGTGTTACCCTTTTAGATCACCTTTATCTACTTTGTATCCTGTATCTTTTATCTTGTATGCACCTGTTGTTTGCATGTTGTCTCTCCCAATAGACTAGGAGCTGCTTGAGGAAAGGGACCCTCTCTTTTGCTTTTCTGTCTATCCCCAGTACTTAGCCTAGTGTCTGCCACAGAGTAGGTACTCAATGAATGCATGCTGACTGCCTGCCTCTTTTCAGAATGTGTAGCTGTAGACTCGGAGGAGAAAGGGGCACCTCCCCAGTCTGCTGCTGGTGGCACGTGGAGCTCCAGGCCCCAGCTTCTCTGCTCCTTGGGGATTCTTTCTCTGAGTAGCTCTGATAGAGATGCTTTCAGGCTTACCAGGTATTTTGTGTCCAGGTGACAGGAGGAGAGGCTCCGATAACCAGCTGCCAGGAGATGTGGGAAGGAAAGATGGCAGTTCAGCGATCTCACAGTTTTTCTTCTTTTCTTGTTTTATGTCTTAGCCTTCCAGGGAGGCATAATAGAAATTATGAGTTACTGTTTCCCACGTCACGTCTCAGTCAATGCACGCTTATGAATTTGGGAGTGTTTTTGTAGTAGACAAGATAAATATCTGTCCTATATCTGGAAAACAAAATGAAAAAGATGAACTCACAAGAGAGAGAAAATAATATTATCAATACCTATTTTTACACAATCCAATGCTCACAAAATTAAGAACTTAAAGGAAACCCTAACCTTAACCTACAAAAATGTACACTAACCAAACTGTTAGGAAAAGAAGGAAAGATCTTCAATCTTTATCTCAATCTCAGGGACTAAAATTGAACAAGCCAGGAAAGAACTAACTAAAAAACTGACAAAGCAGGAAAGCCCCCATCCAGGTCTAGACAGATTTGCAACTAAGGGGCAGCTAGGTGGTGCAGTGGATAGAGCACCGGCCCTGGATTCAGGAGGACCTGAGTTCAAATCCGGCCTCAGACACAAAACAGTAGCTGTGTGGCCCTGGGCAAGTCACTTAACCCCACTGCCTAACAAAAAAACAAAAAAAAACAAAAAAAGACAGATTTGTAACTGAATCCCACTCCTGCCACCAAAGCGATTCTCAGCAACCCAAAAGGAAAGCACTTAGCCCATCTCCATTTATGGGAAATGATGCTCCTGATGCAGAAATGAAGCAGACACTGCCCAAGGTTCTAAACTTTTAAATAAAATCTAAGCAAAACAACCCAATTGTAATAGGACTATTACTATGTCAAATCCAAACAAGATTTGATAATAACCAAGTTAGAGTTATACCAGAGATTCAAGGTGGATGTGATATTCAGAAAGCAATGAACACAATCATATTAAAAGAAAAAAAAGCCCCATATGTCAATGTCTTGGCACATAGCCACCCTGAAAAATGAAGGGAGATCCCCCCCAAAACTCTCATGGTCACACTGACATTCAAGGCAAGGCAGAAATAGGCCCAGAGCCACTTGGTTTCTCTAGTTCTTAATATCTTACTTCTAATTCATTTATACTATGTTCAACGCAAGGTTTTTTTGGTTTTGTTTTGTTTGTTTGTTTTTGGTGAGCAATTGGGGTTAAGTGACTTGTCCAGGGTCACCCAGCTGGTAAGTGTTACGTGTCTGAGGCTGGATTTGAACTCAGATCCTCCTGCCTTCGGGGCCAGTGCTCTGTCCACTATATCACCGAGCTGCCCCCAATGCAGGTTTTGAGAGTGCCATCTCAGGGCAGCTAGGTGTTGCAGTGGATAGAGCACCGGCCCTGAAGTCAGGACGACCTGAGTTCAAATCCGGCCTCAGACCAAACACTTGACACTTACTAGCTGGGTGACCCTGGGCAAGTCACTTAACCCCAATTGCCTTAAAAAGAAAAAAGAGAGAGAGTACCATGACCCTCTGTTTATTCACACTGAGCCCAGCGTTCACTAATCCTGTGAGCTCTTTGGTAGCACCCCTGACATCTCTCCAAACTTCTCCTTTCTGAACCTGTGTATGACTTCCCATTAATCCCTACTAAACCGCACGTGCTTCGCCTCTGTCCCAGTTCCTGAGCCGACACCTTCTCTTTGGTTCTTGATTCTGTTCTCCAGCGTGTCAGCGCTCCTTCCCTCCCTCCTTCTTTTGTACCGTCTTCCCCTGCGTCACCCCAGTGATGGGGGCCATCATTAGGCTGGCCCATCTTTGGGGGCTCTTGGCCCTGTCCAGCATAGCTGAGGCAGGCAAACAACAGGTCTCTCTGTGGTTTCTTTCTGGCTGCTTCCAGGTCCCTGTGCACCTTCCCCTCTTTTTCCTGCCCCTGGATGTCACTGATGGCTCTTCCTTCTTCCTCATTCCCTGCTGCTCCTTCCAGGGTGAATCCAGGAAATGATGCCCCTCTCAGAAAGCTCCCCCAGAACAGGGGCCTCCAGCATCTTGATGTAGTCAGGTAAGAATCTCCCTCTGCTTCAACATTATTTTTCTCCATCACTTTCTTGTTGAAACCCCTTTTAAAAATGTTTTCAAGAAACACTTCATTCTCTGATACTTTCAAAATAAAAACCTATTCTTCATTACCTGGCAGTGACAGAAATACAAACACAATAAGGCTCCTACAGCCCCTTGTTTATTTGGGGCAGCCCATCTGTGGGCCTGAGCTCTGAGAAGCAAGGACAAGGAAATTCTCCCTCCTGTGCCACTCGGCCACTGACCCTTGGACGCAAAGGCTCTCTGGCTCTACTCGGCAGGAGGACCCAACGTAGACTTCCATTCCCTGCTCCCTAGAAGCCTAGAAAAGTGCCCTACCCAGTTTCTAAAATAAGATCGTCTTGAAGATCATGTCTGAGCCTGTTGCCTCCTGTATAAAGCGAGGGTGACAGACTGGATGGTGAACAAATTTACCAAGTCAACAAGCATTTACTAGGTGCCTACTACGTGCCAGGCCCTGAATACATAGGACAAAGAGGAAAGGGTCTGTGCTCTCAAAGAGCCTACATTCTATTGGGGGTTGTGGGTGGAGATCCAAATGTCCACAAAGACATTTAATATGAGAAAAACTGAGCAGGGAGCTCTCATGAACAATTAGTATCAGGGAAGACTTTTCAGAGGAGTTGGAAAGTAGGTGAAATCTTAGAAAAAAGAAAAGATTTTGGAGAGCCAGAAATGAGTGAGAACCTCACAATTATGGGATAGGGCACGTGTGAGTGCATGGAGGAGGTGGGTAACTTAGTGTGTTGTTCAGAAAAGTTTCCCACTTGGACTGGAATGTAGATTTCTAACAGGAAATGAATTTAGGGCAGAAATGTGGGTGGGACAGGCCTTAACGGTCAGCCTAAGGAGTCTACTTTTTAACTTACAGGCAATGGGGAGCCATTAAAGGCTTGTGAGCAGGAGAGTAACAAGGTCAGACCTGTGTATTAAGAATGAATTTGGCAGCTGTGTGGTGATTGGCTTACAGAGAGGCAAGACACACTGAAAGGAGATAGATCAGTTAAGAGGCAAAGGGGATAAGGGCCTCTCCCAGCTCACATCCCCCTAGATACAGCCGCCACATATTCCAAACCATCTTTGGTACGTGCGAGAGCTAGTTCTACCAAAGCTGGCAACAAATCCAAGGAGAAGGCAGCCTTCACCAAGTGCTGCCTTGCCAGACAAAGACTTCCTCCATCTAAAGAAATCAGACTGATGGGTTATCTGGGCCCTTCACTGCCCAGACCCAGATAGGCCGGCTCCCCTTGAGGAAAGGCAGGCAAATGGCATCAGTGTGGGTGAGAAATTGGATTGGATCAAGCAATGGGTGCCTGTGTCTGGACAGGATAAGAGATCTGACGTCACTGAATGACAAAAGGGCTCTTTTGTAGTCCAGGCCAGTCAGAAAGATGACCACCAAGACACCTTACAATGACCGAAACACAAAAGTCTGAGCCTCTCGGGTGAAGTGGCCGACGACGTCATCACACTGCGAGGCCAGGGTGTTTCACTGCAGTACAGACAAGACATCACGCCTTGGAGAAGAGCAACTTGGCCGTGGCTGCTGCCAGGGTTCACGGACCACTTCTGGGGGAGTATGTTTCCAAGGTGATGACTTTTTTTTTAAGTGATGAGGGTCTGAAGGAGGGCAGTGGAAAGAAGTGGATTGTTGTAAGAGATGTTGTGGATGGATGTTAGTATCAACAGGACCGAGCAAAAGACTGGATATGCGGGGAGAAGGTTAAGGAAGAATTAAAGGCTTCTCTGAAGTTGTAAGAAACAGAAACAAGACGTTTAGAGTAGAGGCAGCGTTAGGATGGTAGAGAATGAGTTGTTTTGCACGTGTTGAGTTTGACAGACCAGTGGGACAATGAAAAAAGTGTTTTAGATTTAGAAGCAAAGTGCCTGGGTTTGAATCCTAGTTCTGCCACTTACCAATTGAGTGACCTTGGGCAAATCACTTAACTTCTCTAGGCCTGAGCATCTCATCTACAAGTTGAACTAGAGAAGGGAAGAGAAAGGAATAAGCACTTATAGAGCACCTGCTATGTGCTTAGCACTCTACTAAGCACTTTACAAATATGATCTCATTGGATCCTCACAACAACAATGGAAGGTATGATGATCCTATTTTATAGCTGAGGAAACTTAGGCAAATGGAGATGAAGTGACTTACCCAGGGTCACACAGGGAATAAGTATCTGAAGATGGATTTGAACTCAGATTTTCTCATCTGTGGGAGTTAAATGGTGCAGTAGATAGAGTGCCGAGACTGGAGTTAGGAAGACCTGAGTTCAACTCCGACCTCAGACCCTTACCCGCTGTGTGACCCTGGGCAGGTCACTTCACTCTGTCTCAGTTTCCTCATCTGTAAAATGAGCTAGAAAAGGAAATGGCAAACCACTCCAGTGTCTTTGCCAAGGAAACCCTAAATGGGGTCAGGAAGAGTTGGACACAACCGGACAACAGCTTTCCTGACTCCAGTCAGCCACCGAGCTGGCGAGGTGACTCAATGAGCTCTATGGTCCCATGCCATGGCGATGCTACAGAATAGGCAGGGAGAGAGACTCCACTTGGATGTAAAGATTCCTGAGTCATCTGTATAGGTATGATACATGAACCCGTGGCAGTCACCTACCTTCCAACTTCCCTCTTTCTGTTCAGCTGAGTCATGCTTGCCTTTCCAATCTCCAGATAACCAATCAATGGCCAACCTCTCTCCAATCCATCTCCTCTTCTTGACTCCCGAGGCCACCACGTTGGTTCAGGCTCTCAACCTTTCTCACCTGAAATATTTCAATAGCCTTCTAACTGGTCTCCCTGCAGCTAGCCTCTGTTCTTTCTTGTCCTCATCTTCATCCTCCACAGTGGCCCAGTTGATATTGTCAAAACGTAGGTCTCATTATGTTAATCTCCTACTTAGGAACTTCCAGTAGTTTCCTATCACCTCTAGGACAAACTGTGGTCTCTTCTGTTAGACATTTAAAACCTTTCATAATCTGGTTCCGATCTATCTTTTCAGAGTGACACACAGTAGGGAAAGAAGGGAATGTTTATATAGTGCTTACTATGTGCCAGGCACTATGCTAAATGCTTTACAAATATGATCTCATTTGGTTCTACCAACAACCCTAGGAAGTAGGCTCTAGTATCATCCCCATTTTACAGTTGAGGAAACTGAGGCAAACAGAAGTTAAGTGACTTGGTCAGGCTCACACCACTAATAAGTATCTGATGATGGATTTGAACTCAAATCTTCTTGACTCTAGGCCCAGTGCTCTGTACACTGTGGTGCCCCTCATACCTCCTTGGTACTCCCCATCATTCACTCTGTGCTCAGGCCAAATTGGCCTAACTTGCTAGTCCCCATAAATATTTGTGCTCCACTTCCAAACCTTTGCATAGGGTGCCCCCTATGCCTATCTCCCTCCTCACCGCTGCCTAGTAGAAGCCCTAGTTCCTTTAAAAACACAGCTTAGGGGATATTTCTCCCAGGATGCCTTTCCCCACCCCATCTCCCTGAAATGGCTCTGTACCTGTACACACTCTGTGCCTCCTTATGTGCCCCCGCCCCCACTCTGAGAGGAGGGACTGTATCCCCAGTGGCCTGGCATACAGAGCCCCTCAACAAGTGCTCATTGACTCAGATTGAGAAAACGTGTAGAAGACCAGGAGAAGGAAAGAGAGGGTGGGGTGGGGTCAAAGATCACACAAATGAGGCCTAAAGGAGATGGATGAGGAGAAAGTAAAGGAGACCGAGACGGGATGGTCAGACAGGTGGAAAGAAAACCAGGAGAGAACAGGGTCACCACAAGCAAGGAAGGAGAGATTGTATAAGAAGTCGATAGGGTAAAGTGGTACAGAGAAATCAAGGCTGAGGACTGAGAAAAGAGCATTGGCATTTGCTGTAGAAAGATCACTGATGACTTAGAGAGAGAAAGTCTTGTTGAGTGGTGGGGACATAAGCCAGACTACAACTGGTTCAAATGTGAGTCAGACGTGAGAGAGAAGAGTCGGGAGGTTAAGTAGTTCTTGTCAACAATTTCTCGACCTCGAAGGAGACCACAGGCTACGCAATCGAGGCATGTTTATAGGCAGCCTGGCAGGAACCAGTAGATACGGAAAAGCTGAAAATTAGGGAGAAGGGGGAGAATTGAAGGAACAAGGTTTCCCGGGAGGTAGGAAGATAATGAATGGAGGGGACAAGTAGAAAGGGGCCTTGCGTTAATATGAAGAAGACACGTCTCCCTCAGATACTGTAATAAAAGAGGAGAGAAGAGGGGATGATGGGGAGGAGTCTCACAGTAAAATGGGGAGTCTGGAGTCAGCAAAGGAGGATGGGGGGGTGCTGAGGAATCTCTGTTACTTGAACCTCTCCAATCTCCCATTTCTAATTGCCTATTGGACATCTTGAACTGGCTGTCCCGTAGCCCTCTTCGACTCCATGTGTCCAAAACAGGATTCGCTCTTTCTCCCCTAATTCACTTCTCTATTACTGTCAAGTGCACCACTGCCCAAGTTCCCAGTCTAGGTGTTCTCCTTGCCTCTTCATTCTCTCTTACCCTGAGTCCTGGCAAGTTTATCTTTATAATTTCTGTCATATATAAATTCCCTACTTCAATCCATCCTCTACTGAGCTGTCAAATTTATCTTTCTAAAGTGTGACCATGTCATTCCTCCAATTCAATAAATGTCAGTGCTTCCTATCATCTCAAGGATCACAAATAAAACCCTCTGGTGTTTCAAACCCTTGGCAATCTGGAGCTCTCCTACTTTTCCTTACTCACCCCGACATGCTGGGCAACGCAGTGACACTCCATTTCCATTACTGCCAGTGCCTTCTCTCAGTGACTATCTCTAAATTCTCGTCTATATATTGGCTTGACATAGTTATTTACATATTTTCTCCGCATTAAACTGGGAGCTCCTTGAAGTCATGGCCTATCTTTTGCCTTTCTTCCTATCCCCAGTACTTGGTATACCGGAGGCACTTGATAATTGCTTGTTACCTTGACTCCACGATCTTTTCCCATTCGCCTAGGTTGGGAGCACTTTGCCAGCTTGAGCTGTGGCTAAATTGCTTTTCTCCTAGATCCTTTTGCTGGTGCTGGTTCGAATCTCTGTTTTGGCAAAGAGCAAAAACCATTTGGTTTGTTGATTGTTAGGGAGCCGGCGGACGGGTAGCACATCTGCATCTGGTGCTATTGAAACAAAAACCAATAAAGAAAAGATATAAGCAACTGTGCGCTTAAGATTAAGCCAAGTTAGAGCCCAAGGATGGCCGGCCAGCTCGATTGGTATGCAACCACCGGCCCCGGTGGCCTAGAAAAGTACGCGCAATAGGAGGGGGGAGGGGGCTGAGGGGGAAAGGACCAACGAGCCTCCGCAGGGGCAGCCAGGCAGGTGAATGGAGGGGCAGCTGGAATTTTCCACCCCCTTCTGCGCATGCCGGCAGCGCCAGCCTGCCCGCCCGCCGGCCCGCCCGCCGGCCCGCCCTGGGCTCACTAACGTCACCAAAGCACACGTCAGTTCTTCCCGGGCTGGGTCTGCCGCAGTGGGCAGCGAGCTCTCGATGAGGCTGGCAGCTCGGCGGCGAGCTGCAGAGTTCCGCAATGCGGCATAGGCCCGTCGCCCCCCCCATGCCCAACGGTCCGCTGACCCGGCCTGCGCGGCAGCGGCGATCACCTGGCTGTCTAATGAGCATCAGCGGCTCCGGTAGATCCGGAGCCGCCGATGATCCGCCGCCGACGATCCGCCGATGATCCGCCGCCGCGGTCCTGCCTCCCGCCTCTGCCGTCGCCACCCCCCCATCCCCCCCCAGTGCCCTCCGCTCGCCACCTACCCAGCCGCTTTGGGCGATCCTTAAGCCTAATCCTGAATGCCCGCCTAGGCCGATATCGCCGATCCGTGGGCCGTCCTCCGTGTGCGGAGCCCCCGCCGCGCGGTGGCCCCAACTTCACCCGCCAACGCCCTGGACGGCCCGCCGCGGCGAAGACTACGCCGAAGGAGCCAGGTAAGGAGGAGGCGCGTGGCTGGGAGGCTGGGGGGGTACGAGAAGCCAGATCGTTAGGGAAGAAAGATGCCAGGGAAGGGGAGCAGGGGGGCTATACAGGGGGCTTTCCCGGCTAGTAAAGCTGAGCCCTGACCTGGCCCCCGGTCACCGACTGCGCTGGGGGCAAGGCAGGGCTCGAAAGGAGCGGGTGAAGGTCCCTTTCATTGTAGGATTGAGCGGGCGGACAACACCCCAAGATGGCGCCTGCAAGCCCAGGCCAGATCGTTCTAGAAAAAAAAACAACTGCATGGACTGCTGCATCGCAACCCCTTGTGGTGGTTCAGAGGGAAGCTGGCATTTTCTGCGCATGCCCGTCTGTCTCTCCCTCCCCCTCCCTTCTGCCTGCCTCCGTGGGCGGGCCCTGACCCAGACCACACCTCCCGCCTCATACCTCATTTGCTCCTCCCGCCTCTGTCAATCCTCATCCGCTCCTCCCTCCTCCCTCCCTCCTCCTCCCCCTCCCTCCTCTAAAAGAAAGCCCAAGTCATATGGTCTGACAAAACTGTTCGTTCTTTTTCTAGAGCCTTCTTACAAAGGAATCAGCAGATGATAAATCTAACAAGGTTCGTGTGAAAGCAAGTCTAGTCCAAGAGTTTTTAAGCTGGAGTCTGTGAATGTTAAGAGAAAAAAAAGGTTGTTATCTGCATTTCAGTTTTTCTTTTTCTGTCACTTCATTGTACACACTGACTCGTTCCTCTAAGGGAAAGGGCGCATCCCTAGCCTTTGGCACTGCACTGGGGAGTGTGAGAATAGCAGTCTCTAATACCAAACATGTCCAGAGGCTCTGAGCTAAAGTCACAGGCTTGGGGGTGGGAGAGGAAGGAGAAATTGTAACCGGTCTACGACTTGTGGGGCAGAGGGGTGGACAGGATAAGGCACACACACACACCAAAAATCTAAACTCTATTTTATATTTCTTTGCTATCTAGAGAAGAATCCAAGCACTTTAAGTGAGCCCTCTGTAGAGAACCACAAAAAAGGAAAATCCACATACATGAACAAGATTGTCTTCAATTGAGATCGACTGAAATCAGATGGCAACTAGAGTAAAGGGTTATAGATGTCAGTGGGGCTGAGTTCAGACTCCAAAGCTTTTCTAGCTGAGTAGGGCCTGCACCACGAGGATACATTATCATCAGACTTCAGCGCCCCTCACACTGGCAAATCTGCTCAGCCGTTGTATTCAAAAGGAGTTAACCTACCACGAGAAACACTCCCTAATAAGATGCAATGTCAAAGGATAAAGAGCACTTCTTAAAGGAAGGATTGCAAAGTATAAATGACCACATGAAAACCTACTCCACATCACTACTGGTATAGGAAGCATGGAAAGACAACTTCGAGGTTTCATATCACACCAGAAATTGGCAAAAAAAATGAAGGGTGTGACAACATTGAAGACAGGCACGTGGGTGCATTGTTAGTGGAGTTCTAAAATGGCCCATCCATTCTAGATGGCAGTTTAGAATTCTACTAGAAAAAGTGAGGTCACCTGGCCATAGTGGGTGGCCAAAGACCAAACACAGGTACCCAGACCTTCGTGACAATACTCTTGGGAGTAGCAGAGAGTCAGAAACAAAGAGGGTGCCCACTGCCAAAGGATTAGCTGGATAAGCCTTGGCACCTGCAACGAAATACTACTTTGCAGTAGAAGACAACGATAATCTCGAGGGTGCAGGTATAGTTGCGATAAGTAGCACCTGTAAAGCACCATCTAGAGTGACGCCTGCCGTACAAATGCCAAGCTCAGTCGAAAGAGTCTGAACTTGGAATAAGTGGGAAACCATGGCCCCAGAGGACCAAACCCAGAAGCCATTTCTCCTCCCTCAAACAAAGGGGGGG